GTATTTATAATTTTCACTTTTTCACTGTGATTTCAGAAACGTCCTTTACATCGTGGTTAACGGCAGCTAATTCGCACAAAGGATTTCAACCATAAACAGTGGTAGGTATTTCGCCACTAAGTTGTTCGACATTTCAGCAAGTTATTTAAAGGAATTACGGGATGTCATGTTGTCGCAAAATCGTTTCAGTCTACCACAGCATAGTCCACTTTCATGTATGATTCTTTTTCCATGGAAGAAAACTGATCCACTTATTTTGGTCAGTTTCTACTAGATCACCACCATTGTAGTAAGACGAAGTTATTCCCCCTGTATCAAAGTCCCAAGTGGCGTAATATGAGTTATGTTAGTTATTTAATCATCATACAATAATTTGGTTGTTTTCAGAGATGCATTTTTATTTCGCCAAAGCACTGGTAGTGTTCCTGGCTAGCTACACTATTCCACCCCTTACTGAACGTAAATTGCCCATCCACCCAATATAACAGTACTCTACCTAAACTGTAGGTAATGACAAAAGAACGCAAATCAAAAACAGCCAGATTCGTAAGTGCTCTGACAGACGTTATATCTGAACAAAAGAAGGAGTTTAAAAATTATTCTGGGAATAGATATCAAAACTTTTCTATGTCGTATGGCTGAATTACTGACACAAAGATTGTAGATTTTAGCAGCGAAAGAAAAGAGTTCAAAATTAGCGTTCAGATGAGACTGCATGTGCACAAGTTAAAACAAAACTGAAGACAGTGGATGATGGACTATCGTCCTCTAGTGTGGGTCAAAATGAAGACAAGGGGTTGATTTTTTCTGTAAGCCAACTAACTTTTGGTTAAAGATAGTGTACACTTCGAAAGTTTCTGGCTCTTACCACAATAGTCAATATGGAGTGAGATAGCTTCATAATAGACACTACAAATAACAGACTTATAGAGCTTCACATGGCGTTGTCAAAGATAATACAAAGCGGTATTGATGGTCACATGAAACGCTTTTGGTGGGATCAGCATACTTCACAAGGGAACGCATGCCTGCTCTCTATGTCCAATGAGATACATGCAGCCCTGCCCACAGCCCTACATAACCACTTCTCCACTGTAGGTTGTAAGACAAATCAAGCTTTTGATAAGGTGCAAACAAGACCAAGAAGTAGGTGAATAGCCACAGCCATAAAATGAGTAGCGAAAGACCGCAGAAACTAAGCCTCATCACACTCAGCCTTCTCGAATAGCGTTGATGTCATCAGTGCTTGCAAGGTCACTAGAGTTATCCAGGATTAATAAACATGCTATCAGAACATAGGTGACTGCCAAGCGAACTTCATCAAAAGTTGGCGAAACAAAAGGCTGAAATTCACATGCACTATCAATTTTCTGAGTAAAGTTTGCAGTCCCTGAAAACGTTGCCAGAATCATCAATAAAATTTTAAGTCAGCTACTAAATATTCATATGCCGGCGTAGGTTATATTCAGCCGACTCAGTGGTCGGTTAACATAGTTGGTATCGAGACAGTTTTTCTTATCCAGCTATTCTCTTCATATATCATACATCTACTTGTTTATTAACATTTATCAAGTGTATGTATAATCTCCAGCGAACATGTAAAGCATATCTTGCTACTGCCTGTAAATTGTGATTGAATTATATGGTTCTATTTCTGTAACAATTTGATGATGCCTGTAAACTGGCGTCCCTCATGTACTGTACTATGAGAATAAATTTATTTATTTATTTAGTTTTTCTCTACTTAAGAAATCATTTGCACCAATTCTAGAGCCACATTCTCTTCCACACACCAACTGATACGCTGGTATAAAGCCTAACTTCGATCATGTCAACATCACTGTCTTACAAGAACCACAATTTGTCCATTAAATTCAACCAACCTTTGGAGTCCATCTGAGCAGCCTGTGGATCAGTTGACGCCCACATGCTGCATATACTTGGGAAACCTAAAAGTATGCTAAGAATTCGTTATGTCACATACATTTACATTGGATGCCTGCTAAAAGTCTACGGAATGCAGTGATGTAAGCAAAAATAACGAAAGTTACTGTTTTTCGGTGAACAGAAATTACGTAATTTTGACAAATAGTTGCAGTATCCACCACTTTATTTAAAAAATGTAAAACGACGTTAAGACACACATTATAGTGATTTCTAGTGATGATATATTGCATTTTAATAGGTTAAGCACCTATGTGATGATTTAGGGTAGATAATTTTGTTGATTATTCCCGCTATTATGACGTTTCTTCGTTCTTTGATTCTGCTGTTACTTCATAGCCACTCTACATGCATCTCTTCAATGAAAATCTACACAAACATCCAGGAATCATATAAATATAGCAAATCTTTTTAAGTCATTGATTTAGTGTTCACAGACTGGTGCAATATCTTTTTTCTAAGTAATAAATATTGACTGATGTAACTGCAGACAAATTAACAGATTTTTCGTATTCCATAGAAGTTAAACTGTTTAACTTTTGTTTCATTAATAATAATCGCGTCCACATCTTTTGAGTCCTCATTTTCCTCTTCACTTAGTAGCTAACCTCGGTGAATTCATGGCTTTCATTACTGAAGAGAGTGATTTCCACGTAGTCACTGATTTTTCACTACACGTCACAAAATTTATAAGTGTATCCCTCTTGATTCGTTTGTAAATTCTACTTGCTATATAAAGAATAAAACTAATAAAACAGTCAGAGTGCAAAAATATCCATTACAGTAATATAGCAGTTTCCTCGAACTACTACCGTTGTGAGTAACGAAAGGCTTTCCTTGAATTACTAAGTAGAAGCAAATATTCGGAGAAGTTTCCTGATGAAAAGATTGTGCATTACCCGGGAGAATAAGTATTTCCACATACAACTAGACACAGTTTATTACAACTACCACGATAACACTGATTCAAAACAAGGTACCTACGTACCGCCGCTGCAGAACACACTACATACTACATAGTATATTACATTGCGTCTAATCACGTTAATTTCCAAACTTTCACGTGTTATTAATGCTGCGGGGACAATATCGCATTACAACAGAAGGAAAACAGATTCATAGAAAAAATATTTATCAGACAAAAATTAAATGTCAGTTGTGCAGACATCTCTGGTGAGTAATCGTTTGTTACTGTCAGCAGGTTCCATGTGAGCACGCAGTACATATATGTCTCACAATAAGAGTCTGAAAAGGTTCAACAAAAGCATGATTTACTTGGGTAGTGTCTATATGATCTCTATAATAAAACATTTCGACTAGGGGATTACTTGATCAATACTTACAGGCAAACACTTTGCAGACAATGAACACAAGTAGTTAAATATTTTATACTGAACTTAAGGGACTTCAAAATTTAACGTTAGTTGACATCTAGTAGATTCATGTATCGTGGTGTTCCGAAGCATAGTGAAATCATGAAATTATTTAGTATTAAGTCATGCAGCTATTCCCAAAGCTTGAACAGGAACATTTTCACCAATAATAACGGCTTTCTGGCAAATAATGCCAATTATACCGGCAATAATTATAACAGTGTTCATGATCATTACGGCTATCACAGAAACAACAATAGTCATAGGTACTATTAACACAACGAATTGATTATTACCTTAGATAAACGGCTAGTAGTGATGCAACCATATTAATAAAATGTATTACTTTATTTTGTGAAGAAAGTGTTTACTTCCACTGGTATAAAAGCGCAGCGCAGATGTGGTCAACTAATTTACTTTACCTGAACTCAGGATTGGTCCTGAAAGTGAGTGGAGACCTAATGAAAAACATGAGGACTCCATGCGTTACTTAACTTACTGTGATCTTCTTTGATGCCTGCTTTAAAACTTTCGTCGCAACGGTAGACCATACAAAGGTATTTATATGTTGCATCAACTAAATTCTTCACAATTAACCTATCCGCTGAGTGTTTTTACTTACTTAAGCTTCGCTGAAAATATTAGTCAAGCGATAATCGAAATTGCATAAAGTTATCACCCCCTTGGAACGCTAGAAGAAATTTTGATGCTACTGCTAATACCCTACACTTTGGTGTAGAACGAAATCATTGAATCCAGCAAACAATTACACTGAAAATTTCTTTCTTTCCTGTGTTGCAAAAGAATGTAGTGTCAGTTATTCAACTGACTGAATAAAATACCCCCGGAAAGTGAGAATTTAGCCGAACAACCAACTGGCGTTTGAAACTACCGTAACTGTAAAGGCAAATTGACATATCACAAGCAATACTGTCAGCTGTTTATCCCACTAGCGGGCACACTAAATAACTTCTATTGACAGGCTACCGTCCATCTGACCTGTTTTAAGCAAATGAATGAAAGATCAAGAACCCCCACCTTATTTTCGAAATTTAGATTGATGTGAATAAATTGGCTGGACTTATCCGGCATGTTGGTTGAAATTTCGCTCGGCAGATTTGTTTTGTCAATAGTTTTTAATAAAATTTTGTTGTATGTTTTCTGGATTGATAGGAATTCTCATTTCCTGGCTAGTTATGTTGGTGTCTGCGTCATTTAATCTGACTGCGACACACTTAGCATATTGGTTGTAATGATTAGTGTTTCATGCTGAATGCGTCAAAACATCTCTACAATGAAGAAGATGGGGTAGTTGGGGGGTAATGTTATCTACACAAATAGTTTATTTCTTGTAGAAGCTGCAGCTTTCGACATAGTGTCATTCAATGAAGACTACGTCAAAATGTGGCTATTTTCGTGTGAAGAACAGTACTATTTTACAAAAGAATGCTATCAGTACATGGGAATCACCTATAAATGCCAACAGAACATAAAACCAATGTGTAAACGAACGGCTATGGAACTGCAATCCAGCATAACCGACTAACATGGGCGAAAATGACCTTTGAGCGTCTCACTCCATCAATGACCTTGAGCATGCGGGATAATTTCAGCCGAATAAATTTAGTTCATTCGATTTCATATGAAATCAATTGGATATTGAAATGCAATAACTGCTTTGGAGCCAAATATGACATCAAGGTCATGCGATAAGATGTTTACTGGAGTACACGTGTTACTATGCCTATCATCTTTACTTCCCACATTCGCTTTCTCAGCAGAATTGAAGGCTGTAACTTTTAAAGATGCACTTAACATTGATACTTCTGAGTATCCAGAAGGATCGAATACAGCTCTACTATTCACGAGTAATATTGATCCATTTAATAGAAAATGATTTTTGACATTTAGTCCCAGATCGCTGTCATGATTGCCATTTGTACAAAAAATTAATGGATGATATTGCATCAGATGCTCTTTTTAATGGTATTTTATAGAACAAAGTTGATTTTATAACAATTGTATAGGTGATATTTTTTACTTGAATCATTCAACTGTCCCTTGGATTGAAAAACTGCCTGCACCTGCAATTCTTTTTCTAAATTCCGAGCGAAAAATTCCTTATTTCGGTAAGTTTTTGAAGATACTTCTGGTCTGCGTTTTTAATATCATTAAGAGTTCAGATATTTCAATGAAGGTAAAACGCTTAAGGCATATTTTAATTCATTTTTCTTCAGTAGCACCTATTCTGTTCTGTTCAACTTTTTTTCGAAACTTTGTGGGTTAAGATTCCGTTACGGTCGGTACACTAAAAGTTATTGAGTTGTGCTTCATTAGTCTAGATGCTTGACTTCCAACCGAGTGTAACACCGGCAAGTAGTATTAATACCCCTCACAGTAGACAAGGCCCACTGTCAACTGGGTGAAAGTGTAGGCGGTTGTTGAGATGCACCGTTACATAGATTAAGATGAATATCTCATCTGAATTTCTTGATGTATTTGCTTCCCTGTTATCATACATGTATGCAAAATTAAACCACAGACTTACGCAAACAGAGAAATTAAGCGACTATTTGCTGTCTGTTTAACTTCATAGCGCTTCCGAAAACAATATGGTTAGACTGAGTTTTTTGGGGGGGAAACTAACTTGCAAATTGACAGATTATAATACTGGTTTTTATACGTAAGCTGTGTTTGTTAAAAATGTACTTTGTTGAAGTGAACCCGTGTAGTTTGTCTCATGTATCCACTGTTGTACTCATTGCCGATTTTACGTGTTTTTCGATTTCAGCTAAGTTAAGGGAATGCGTCGGTGGCACAGCCGTTATGACTCTCGCCGACCATGCACATGGTCCGGGGTGCGATCTCCTGCCGACGCACACCTGATATCTATGGTTGGCCTGAAAAATTTGGGCTACCGATATCACATGCTGAAAATTCCATACCTGCACCAAAAAATACGGTGTGCAATCAAACTGTAATGAAAAATAAAAAAATGAATTTCCAAGTTATCCTCTTTAATAGGCTACCTCATTTCTGTCCTTAAATTAGCAGTTAGTGCAAACCAACCCTGCAACATCAACGTGTTTAAAATGTCTTCAAGTCGTATGTGAGCTGTGGAAATTCGACTACATAGGCAGGTCGGATATAAGGTGGTGGGGCAAATCAGTCCTCAAAACCTCTTTCCCATATCTCATTAAGAGCTCCTGATAATCGTTTGTTTGTAATCATACTGTTCATCAAGGTGCGATTAATGCGTATAATGAGATAGGAACTTGTCTCATTGTTTATAGTGCTGCCTTTATAAAGCGTAGTAGGCTGTTTGGCCAATAAAGAACAACTTCAATAACATGTGAATTCTCCAAATTCCTCTTTTATGATAGCATTGGGTAGTAAAATTATTAAAAGTTGTGAGGATGCTAACATTTCACACCTACTTTTAGATTAATTAATACACGAAACAGACTAATATGGTCATGATTGGGTCTTTATTTGAATCACTGCAACTCATTTTGACACAGGAAGCAGGTACCGAAAGAGGCAGACATGGTAAGCTGATTGTCATAAGCTTGAGGAACAACAAGGAAAATATACTTAAGCAGGAAGAGATTAATAATTCAGAATAGAATGCAACGTAAACAGATTCTTTATATTCGAATTGATGATTCTGATTACTGTTACAAATCATGTCCCCGAGCATTTAAAAAAACGATTCAAAAATAAAGCCTTTACTTTTAAATAACGGATAGGCAGCATCAACACTGAACCTAGGATTACTACAAAAGGGTCTTAGTTGTCGGGCCTCATATTGTAATAGAAGAAAAGGTAAAGAATACGATAAAAATCATAAGGTGATACCAAACAAAGGAAGTAAAGATAAGGTTAATAGAAGAATTGGATTTCACATTAAGTTGAGATATAAGTGTGTTTGTATCATTTCAGTCGATTCTGACTTGTACGACTTACAGTCCCCAATGTTCCGTCCCAACTACCGAACTAATGCAGTTTAAACCAGTAGTTATCAGCTCGATGGATCAATGTTATTTCTTAGTTTAGCCTTGCTTAAATTTTTTTTCCCAAACTAATTCTAATTCTGCCACCTGACATTGAAGCACACAGTTAGTAGGCATGTGTAACATATACGAGTCACCTTAGTCGACATAAGTTAATGGTGTCCTTGACTAATTCGTCTTTCTTGTTTAAAGCTCCACACCCGACCTCTACATCACTTATCTTTGAACCTTCTCAAATCCTGTCACTGATTGTGAGATAAAGCGCAGTTTAATCAACCCTTAATGAGCAGACGCAGATCGGTGCAACTTCATGAAATACAAATGAGTGTTTTCTACAGATAGTGTGTACTTCAGTTATGCTTATCCAAATCTGATTGTGTGGATTTTGCTTATAGGGTGAGAAATAATCCTGCTTTAATAACAATTTTCGACTATTTTTAAGAAACGCAAAACACTGACTTTGAATGACTTGTTCATTACGACTAAATATTTAGAATATCCACAAATCATCCGCAGGTTATATAATTACTTTTTCCGAACAAAATATTTTTTCCTTTACGTGACATGTAGTGAAATGCTAAGTCGGCGGGGAGGTTATATGCAGATGATTGCATGAGTTAAGTGGTCAGTACTGTAGCGAGAAAGAACTGAGATAATTTTTGATTATGACAACCTAGTGTTACTAAATTCACAGGTCATATGATCTTTGGATAGATGATATACGTACACGCTCATCTCCAAGGCAGTGTGTCCAAGTTTCCAGTTCCACCTAAACCGCTTCAAACTGAGTAGTCTTATCAGTCCCCGCATAGTTTGTGGCTCGTCGGCTAGCACACAAAAAATCTGTACCAGGTAGTTTTGGTCGAACAATAAGGTCGAAATCCCTATTACTCAAGGTGATTATTTTTTTTACTATTGCTTCTCAGTAAAACTATGTGATACCCGTAGGTTTCGATAAAGAAAGACGAAATTTGCAGCATAAAATAGTATCAATACTTAGAGTACTCAGGATGGTCGGGGGTGGGTGCCTTGCGCCGCGGGTTGTCCACCCCTCCGCACACCTCTTGAAATGCTCCCATATGACCGGGCGTCTTACATAGCCTCTCCTGAGGAAGTCCTACTCACTGCCTTCACGTGGCGGAGGTGTTCTTCACTAAAGTGAGAGAGCGAAAGAGGATGCCCGGCGCTCTTCACCGGGTTGACTGTCCATTGGATGACAGTCTAGGGGAGATGACTAAACCCTGATTCCAAACCTCCAACGACTGGCGTATGAAGTTCACGGGAGCTCACCGGCAGACGTATGGACAAAGGGCTTGTTGGATGTCTGGCCCCATTCAAAAAGGCGTATGAACCGAACTCTGGTCACCGGCTGCCAATGGATAGTGGACTCCCTACTCCACTCCTACTGCCTTGTAGGTCACACTTGGTTGTGTAAAGGCTAGAGCTGCACTCTCAAACAAAAGGCCGAGCGATCCTGGGGACATCACTCGTACCAAATTCCCATGAAACTTCATGGACTCTCTTACAAACGATCGCCGCGCCTGGGCAGCGATGATTCGAGATGTTCATGAAGCCGGCTCATCCTCCCGTAGGAGATAGCCGAAGTAAAGTAAGTAAGTATGCGGATGATATTATCCTCCTTGGTGAAGATGCTGACTAAAATTATATTTGCCAACTTACATCATCTCTGGCGTTGACGTGGTATCTGGCTATTGATCAAAGGGTGTATGCTGTTCAGCAGTTTTCTCTGTCCTCCTTTATGGCTATTGAAAGTGGAAGATATGAAAAGTCTAGTTGTCTTTGACCACAGATGTTTGCGTTTTATCTCCCACTTTAAGTGGTATAATGTGGTGAGTAATATTGAAGTTAGGCATAGAGTGTTAGGTAAGGAGGGAAAGTTAATCGATGAGGTTGTGAAGGTGCATCGATTGAGATGGCTATTACATGTGTTGCAGGTACCTAGCCATCGCCTTCCTCGATGAGAAGTGTTAACTGACATAGGATTAGGTTGAAAAAGAGTTGGGAGCGGTCAAACCAAAACCTGACATCAGTCTATGAAGTCATTGACAGTTGTTTTCAGTGACGTTAGGAGGTGCCTGGTTTGAGTTCTCAAGATGTTAAGAACCAATGACTATAGACCTTTGATGATATAGCTTAATGGCTCAGATGCATTAACTGTTGGTGATCTCACATATCCATTAAACCATCGTGTTTTGTCATTTCATCATTTTTTTTTCTTTCTTCTACACAAATCTGCTCATTATAAATCTTTTGCACCTCATTTTTCAACCCTTGTGTGCTGCGTAGTGGGTGGGAACTCGGGCTGATACTCTTGTATACGATGATTTCCACTAATGTAGATGTTAGCTTTTGTAGTTTAGGTGAAATGAATGGAAATTACTCATATATATTCATGTCGAAGTTTACCTGTATGCATAACCTACTTCTCACTGTAAGAACTATGTATCCATCACTCATTATTTTGAACGCCAAAGTTATCCAATAAGCTGTTGTGCTACAGTAGTGATTTCATAGTTCTTCTGTGAGTCCCTACCTTATTCTTCAAAGAACATGGTAAGCAAGCGAGACGATAGGTTGTATAGCGTTTCCCACGTATTTCTCATTCTTAGAAAGTTAAGAAAATACTCATTCTATGAAGAAGCTCAGTCTTCTAAATAAATTATTCACATTCGTTACACATATTGTAATGGGAGAAGACAAGAGACTTGATAACGGGATCCTTAGTTGCAGTTTGATGTATGCATATAAGGAAATGATGTATGCCATATATGAAATCCGTCGTTTACACACAGATCTTTCATGTTGCGTTAATTCTCCCCTTCGTGTATTGTGTTTCTTTGTCTTCCTTTTGTGGCCCCCATGTTATGCTGCAATAGTGGTTCATTTCCTCTCTTTGATGTCAAATTTCTTTCTTCGTTCTTTGATGTTTTTGTTCTCTGAACGTCTCTTTATATTACTACTTACAAATCTTATCAGTAGCACACGCCGCAATATTAATAAAAGACAACCTATTTCCATGTTGATATTCACTACTTATAGCCTTTCTCTTTTTTTACTTTTATATATATAGGTCCACTTCATCGTACTCATCTAGTTAATGCTATGCATCAGTTTACTACAAGTGTTCAAGCAGCTCGACTAGATGATTCTAATTTTGAGCATGATACTCAAGCTTCTACAGGTTCAACAACTGGCAATTGGATTGTGATTTTGTAAGTTTTCTATGATTTCTTTGCTTGGATTAATTATGTAACAAGGAGTAATTCTTTTGAAATGATAACAGCTTCGCTTAAATAAGAAATGCAGAAGGTTAGAATGAAAGCGTCATGACCTACTTTTACTCCATATTCACTGCTCAAAGGACTTTTTGACGAAGATATTTACATTTGGTTTTTCTACAGTCATTGTAGTTGTATTTGATGCTATTTATAAAAGACTACTTTAGGTTTTTTAAGTAGTCATTGGACGTATCGAAATCACAGTTTAAATAACTAAGATCTGTAGCTTAAACAACAAATAAGGATAAACTGAATACTCGTTTGTTTTAACAGTCACTTAGTTTCCTGTGAGTGCGTCGGTGGTCCAGTGGTAGAATGCTCCCCAACCACACGGTAGGTCCAGGTTCAATTTCCCGTTTATGCACTGCTAAAATGTCGTCTATCCAGTAGTATGCATAGAGAAAAAGGAAAGGTTAGGTGTGAGTGAGGTTAGCAATCCCACACCATAAGAACAACCCTACTACTGTGGTGACAGAGCTGTCTGCAAGCCAAAATTATAGACAACAGTTTACGTCAATGTTTACGTCCCGAATCGGGGTCATGAGAAAAACAACAACAAAGCTTAACCTTGAGGGATTCACCAACCAATCACAGCAGACTTAAGGTGTGCAAATACGGCTCGCAAATATATGGCTTAACTTTCTAAGAAATGGTCACAAGCAGTGCAGAATAACCCTCGGCAGAAAACAAGTAATCAGAAGAGGTTGCTTCTCTGCTGACAACAACGAATAATAATGTGCATAAAAATCTATAAATATCTCTTGATTTTCTCAATAAACGATCTGTTGCCTGGCCCTTGTCTTCTGTCGTTACACTACTGCTGCTAAAAATTCAAACACTTGAAACCTTATGTTCCACTTGAAACGCGAGGAATAAGAGAAAAGTTTCGTATGAATATTTTCGCTAAAGAGCTTTATGTAACTGAGAAGATTACATGGAGTTAGTCTCCAAGCATTTATTTCCACGTAATAACTTGTTTCCATTAGTGTTTTAGCTTCATGTAGCCTGGGTTCAACTCCCAGCCGATGAACTCCTAAAACTCACCCAGCCTGTAGTCAGGCCAGAAGGAAAAGGAAGCTAGGCGTCAGGATTCTATGTGGAGACACTGATAAAATTCAGAGTCTTTTGAACACCTTGACCAACAACCTTCGAATATTTGACACGTGATTCGCTCCTGTCAAATGTAAGATGATGTCACAGGACTGGAGTACATAGAGTCCTAGCTTAAAGATAGGGAATGGAGTGGTAGAGGGTGTTGACTACTTAACTTATTTGGGAAGTTGCATCCGACCTAGTGGTCTGGATGCTGACAAAATCTTAGTATGAATACTAGAGGCTCTTGTGGCATTTATCAACTTGTGTCGTCTTTCGCATATATGTGATATCTGGCTCTCAACTAAACGATATGCTCTGTGCTGAAGATCACTCCGTCCCGCGTTATGGCTGTCAGAGATGGCCATTAGAAGTGGAAGTTATGAAATGGTTAGCTGTTTTGAATAGTAGGTTTCTTCATTCTATCTCCCGTTAGACGGTATAATAGCCTAAGTAATAGTGAGTTTAGGCCTCGGGTGTTTAGGTAAGTTAGAGTAAGCCAGTCGAAAAGATTGTGAAAGTGAATAGATCGAAATGGTTAGATCATGTATTGCACCTACCTACTCATCGCCTTCCTCGACTAGAAATGTTATCTGGCATACAGTCAGGTCAGAAAAAAGTCAAGAGCGGTTAAACTAAAACTTGACATCAGTCAATCAAATCTTTATCAGTCACTTTGAGCCAGTCATGTAGGGAGGTGTAAACTACCTTTCTTGGGGTCCTCGAGATGCCAAGAACCAATGACGGCTGGAGACAATTGGTGATATGACTAAAAATCGTTTTCAGTGGCACAGGTGCATTCACTCTCTGTAATCTGCCGTATCCAAAACAAACCGCTAATGTTTCTCCATGTTACTGTTCTTTCTTCCTGACATTTCTGATTAGTATCGTCCTTCTGAATCTCTTCTCCCTTCCTTTGTTTGTTACATGGAGTGTGGCAAGTTGAACTACTGGTGCACTTCTGTGCAAAGTTCTATTTGGAAACTAGTCAGGACATCAGGAAACCGACTCCACTCTATAGAAATCTCCAAGTTGTCCAACTATCTGAAATATTCAATTAATAATGCTTAATTGCTACATTCTATAATGAAAAAAAACAACACAAAACCCATTCTATATCAAATTTCACCGTTTTGCCTTTCTTCCGTATTAATTGTTTTTCTTTACAGCGATGAAATTACGCCAGAAACCTTAAAAATATACGATGGATTGTCGTTAACGTGAGTTATCAAAAGCTAAATAATTGATTTGTATTTTTCATAAGTCTCTCCCTCTCTCTGTCTCATGAATGATGCATACTCATATATATATATATATATATATATATATATATTGTTTATAATTTTGTGGCATAGTAAAGTTGATCCCTTGTTTTCTTCCGTTCATACGATACTTCTCGAATTGGTTTTCTGATCTCTTTTTCTTATAATCTAATAATTTTTATATTTATAGTTTCCGGTGTAAATAATGAAATTGAAATGATTCGCTGTAAATAAAATTCACAAATAGCAAATTAACTTGCTATTTCCACAGTTCAAGGTGTTCATTTTAATATGGCTTCCTTCGCGAACCGAGACTATTCAGATCACCATAATATGTGTGATCTTCTTGATATCATAAATGGGGTGATCAAGAAAACAAGCGTAAATGCATAAAGCTATACAGTACTGACTTCCATCAACAACCAAGTAGTACATGCTAGCCTAGAGAATTTGATGTACGGTGTTACCAGTTCGCCTAAGTATCATTATTATTCTCTTCTGTCCTGAGTGGATCATAGGGCTTCAACAGCACATTTCCAGTTTGTCCCATTTTTTGCAGTCCTTTTCATCATTTGATCTCACGATTGCTCATAAGCTTTCATGCCCTCCTCACACAATTTCCTCCATGTCACCGTCGGACGGCCAACTCGCATGTCTGACGTGTGAGGTCACTCAATGGTCTCCTCTCTGGTAAATCTTTTGAGCAGTAGTTTCTTAATTGGTTCGTTCTCAGAGTTTCTTGTTCCTAACAACTCCTGCATATCCAGTCTTCATTGTGGAGCCAACGAAGACAGCCGTCGATAGAAGTCTGCAACCTTTAGGAAATGCTTTTCGTGACACTCAGTGTAATTTTCTGACCTGTATAGCCTGGAATTTGTGTCGAAAAATCCGAACTTTGTTCTTTATGCTGCGGAGTGCAGAAGATTCCCAGATTGATGAAGGCGTATCTTGCCTTTCCGTTTCTGGCTTTGACATCTTGATCCATTCCTCCTTTAGTTGAGACGATGCTGCCTAGATAAGTGAAGGAAGTTACCTCTGTCAAATTTCTTCCGCTGATAGTGACTGGTGTTTGTTGTTGGACGGTTATTTTCATCACCTGTGTCTTCTGTGTGTCCACTTAAGGTCGTGTTTTCTCTTCTTGTGCCAATTTGTTGGTTTACACCGAAATCCGGCTAGTTGAAAGCTAAATTTGTTAACTTAGCACATTAATTCCCTGATTCAGGTTGGGAAACAAAGAAGCACTTTAACTTAGATTCATTTCAAAACCCTACAAGAAATTATGTAGTAGGTCTGATATAGTTATCCTGAAACCTGACAAAAAATGAAGGGGTGGTTGTAATGGATAAATGTGATTACAAAACAAAAATGTTATCTATTCCCTCTGATGATATCAGAAATTTAGCAGTTAAAATAACATCTCATTTGGTAAAACTTCGCGGAATGGACGTTATTGCCTAGGTAGAGTTTAATTATCTGAAACCCAAAGGAGGTGACTTTTCAAGTCGTAATGGATTACCCAAGATTTATACAACTGTCAATTTGTTATTCTCAATTTAATCAATATGTCCTTCTCCCACACATTAATTGGTATTTGAAGTCCAGTACTCAGTAAATTATGTAAGTTCTCTTTAAAAGATACTTGTTGACTACCTAGTAGATATGAGTATGAAAGACAAGAAACTATACTCTTTTGATGTTCATTCATTATATTGCGAATGTACCCTTGGTCAGAACTGTTGATATTTATTTTTTTTGATTACATATCTCCCCTGTTGTCTTTTATTTCCTATTCCTGTAACATATTTGAAAGTCTAGACGTCACTGAGAATCGGTCTTTTTTTTCCTTCACGTTCCCAGTGGAACATAGGGCCTCAAGCTAGTGGCTTGAAGTTTTTGTAGCAATGTTTAAGTTTTACAGGACGGGGTTGCTAGCCTCATGCCCAACCTTTCCTCTTCACCAGCATTATTTCTGGCTTAGCGAGGTAAAGGAGTGCGTCTGTGGCCGGGGGTCGAACCCCGGACCATGTGCATGGTCGGCGAGCGTCCTAACCGCTATACCACCGGGATCGATCTTTAGGAAGGTTGAAATAGAATAATCAAGTGTTAAATTGCTTCTACATTTTAACTTTAACCACCTTCCTTTTTATTCGTTATCTATACCGTAATAAATTATTAAATTTCTTGTTTTTGCATTTCTTTCATATTTTTTTCTTTAGCCTTGGTCCAAAACATGTAAATATAGGAGTTCTTGATCCTAGTCATTCGACGCGTACTGCTAAGCGTTTCAATATTAACATTCCATCGGCTTTTACAGATAGCAATCCTCTTGTTTCAGCAATATTGTAAGTATTTTCAAATATGATTCTTATTTTAACTATGAGTTAGTATATATACAAATATTCATTTATGTTTCAGTATACATTATCGATCAGATAGTTTTACCAAGTGTTGGTTTATAGGGACTTATTTGGTTAGAGGTTTGAGTGCAAGCTGACAACAGTTAGAGAGAACCATTGGAAAACCATCATAGGAGTACTGGACAGCTGTTTCATTCTTGTTCCAGACTCTTCAACAGTGTCCGCCAACCGGGGTTCGAACCTAGGACTTTGCGGTTACAAGATGAGTTCGTGAGTCATTCAATGATTGGTAAACAATCCTAGGGCCCATGAATTCTAACCTCTGTCAATTCGTGATAGATATGTAGCGCATCCGCTAGCCAATGTCATAGACAAGTAGTCGTTGTCCTGCTTGAGTTAGTAGACCCTTCTGGTAACTGCTTCTCACAAAAACTCCAGGTAACTCCCTGGGTTTGAATCCGAGTGAGTGCTGATGCTGAAGAGTCCCAAATAATTTACCTTAGATGAAATTCGTTCTCGTAGTATTTAGCCTTGCAATTTTGTACTACTTAAATATTATTCAGTAGATAAAGTCTTAAGTCACAAATGAGGAATGAGTGAACCAATTTAAACATTGAATAGTTGGTAAAAGTGGTATATTTTTAACTGTATAGTGTGCTTCCTGCTTGACTGAATTCTTCAGTAACGACAAAGAGTTTATATGAAACCAGTATAGGAAATGAAATGTTGTTAATAAACGATAATAATGATGATAACGACTATAATTTCATAATAAAATTAGAGTAAACTAAAACATCACACAGTGATGAATAAGATGTTGCTTTGTGTATCACTGAGTCCGCGAATGTAGTACAAAAGGACTTTGCACGTACCATTTAAATATAGCCGAATCACTGACTAGTCGGGATCTAAAACCGAACCTCCACGTAAATGTACTTGCCTTTTCTTGGCCAGAGTAACATTGCATTTCTTATGCAGGTTCTTTTCTAAGCACTTTACCGTATACCATTAGGTATTTTCTATCTTTACCATTTACACATTTGGCAGTTGATTCTCTTTACATTTGTAGTGTAAATTCAACTTCCTTTTCCTATTCCCCACTTAGTCCACTTAGACGAAATCTCAGCACGGATACATAGGGCTCGTTTGGTATATGCTAACTTACTCCTTCTCTAGCATAGACATAAAATCCAGCTGGCTATCAATTAAAGACGTCTGTACTGCTCAGCAGTTCGCTCTGTCCTTCTTTATGACTGTGAGTGAGACATGATCACTGAAAGTGAGAGACACGAAAAGGCTAGCTGTCCTTGATCATAGATGCCTGCATTCTATCTCCCGTGTTAAGTGGTATTATGAGGTGAGCAATATTGAAGTTAAGCGTTGAGTGTTAGGTGTGGAACGAAAGTCAATTGATGAGGTTGTGAAGTTACACAGATTGAGAGAGATGGTTAGGACATGTGTTATGCATGCCTAGCCATCGAACGCCTTCCTCGACGGACAGTGTTAGCTGATGTTGGATGGATCAGGTTGAAAAAGAGCTAGTGGGGGTCAAAACAAAACATGGCTTCATCAGTCAATGAAATAATTCCACAACAGTTAGTTTAAGTCATCCACTTCAGGAATTGTAGACTACCTGGTTGAGGTCCTCGGGATGGTGAAAACCAATGAAGACTGGCGACAATGGCTTAAAATCGTTTTCAATGGATGGGCGCAGATGCATTCACTCTTTGTGATTTATGATATCCAATAAAATTCTCTTGTTCTTCCATATTACTTTTCTTTTTCCTTCACATTTCTGTTTATTATCTCTCGTTACTCTCATCTCTTAGTTTGTGTGCTACATGGAGGGAGAGTGGCAACTAGAGCTGCTACACATTTGTGCAAAGTTCTATGTTAAAACCAGCTAGTTAGTGACTCCCTTCTAGATTAAACTTCAAATCACGTAATATATCTTCTAGAAACATAGTAACCAGTATCTGATTGGCTCTATGAATTCTTCGTTAAATATGAATACGATTGTAAAGCTACCTTGACAACGATTCATCCAAAGAAAATTCTCCTGTTCCGTCTCTTGTCATTTTTATATCACAAAAATTCACAAGTTTTCCAATGCTACCTGAGAATAAACACCTCATCATTTTCTTTCATTGCATATTTGTTATTCACTCAAACTTTAAAAACACTTTGTTCTAGAAGTGGTTTATTCAAACTGAAGCACTGATGAAGTGTACCTAAAAAGGACGAAACCGCCACCAAGTATTTCCTGGTGATTTTCCAATAGTTCTCTAACTGATTTCATCTCATAGTCAAACTTGAAGAAATATTTATTTTTCAACGGCTTCATTTTCAACTCGCTGTGCAGTCGTATTTCTATTACGGAAAAGGGTGCATTAAGTGGCACTGAGAATTGTTGTCGATATACATATGATAAAAATAAAGACAGCGTAATTTTTAAGGTTGGAAGTGCTGAATTGGGTAAATTACAATATTAAAAGATTATTCAATATGTGGATTGGCATTAAAAGCTTTGAAGTAGGTCAAGTGTTGTTAAAAAACACGTAAACTTTTAGATTGACTGAGTTTACCCTTGTAGGCAACTTTAAAGGATAAATCGCGTGGGACTGAATGACTTGACTCACGAAGGTGCTCACAGATGAAAGAATTTTTCATCCTATTCTTCCTTTTCATCAACGAAACTAGGTGTTTTCCTGCTAGGCGTTTCCGAAAAACACGCTCACAATGTCTAGTGTAGTCATATATACCAGAGGTTTTGGAAGAGTAGATGCACTTTATTATTATTATTGTTTCCTTTAATTCCTAGAAGAACATAGAGCTTCAGCCGTGCGTCTCCATTGCGTTCGGTTCTCTGCGAGAGTCTTCACCTGGCTCCAAGTCTGCCCACACGCTTTCATCTCCTCTTCACATGACCTCCTCCAAGTCACCCTTGCACTGACGACCAACTCGCCGCTTCCTTTCGGGTTCCACTCGAGGGTTAGTCTAGTGATGTCAGTTGATGGTTTCCTTAGAGTGTGGCCAATCCATCTCCATTTCTTCCTGCCTATTTGTTGTGCAATCGGTTCCTGGTTGGTTCGCTCACAGATATCCCTGTTGCTGATCTTTTCTGGCCATCTGATCTTCAGTATTGAGGACAGACAGCTGTTAATGAAGGTCTGTAGTTTGTTTGAGATGCTCTTCATCACGCGCCAAATCTCTAATCCGTATAGTGAGTAGCACTGACTTCACATTGGAGTTGAAAATCCGGATCTTATTTTTGATGCTGAGTGTTGTTGACCTCCATACAGACTTGAGAGTAATGAAAGCTTGTCTTGCTTTCCCTATCCTTGCTTTGATATCCTCGTCAGTTCCGCCTGTATTTGAAACGACGCTTCCAAGGTAGGTAAAGGAGGTTGTTTCTTTCAGGCTCCTCCTACTTATGCTAATTGTTGTCTGTTGTTGCACTTCACTGTTACTGATATCGGTAATTTAACTTGGTGACTTATTTAATCCCCATAATCGTAAAGTGGAGTAAGGCCTATGGCTCACATTAAGCTCTAGTCAAATGCTAAGTGTTGGTTTGCAAGAACTTGGTTGATTGAGAATCATAGAAACACTGGTTAGCAATTTCGTCCTCGTTCCGGACTCCTCATCAGCACAGGCACAGTAACTCCACCAGGGTTCGAATCCAGATTATATGACAAGTCCGTTGACCATTTAGTCACTGAGATGGAATCTAATGGCCCAACAATTCTAACTTCTGCCAATTTGTGATATACAGCGCTACCACCAGCCAATATCAGCGGTGAGTGTCTGACGTTACTGTCAACTTGGTTCACCCCACTGGTCAGTTCGTGACCAAACTTGAAACCAGTCAAATTACCACAGATCACCGTTTGAAAATTAACCTATTGCTCATTAGTGACTGGCTACATGATAAAATTGTCTGAAGTTCTAGTGAGACATTAGCTGGCAGCAGCGCTATATTTTGTGATTTGGGAAAGGTTAGAGTTGATAGACTGGAGATTGTATTCCATTTCGGTGGCTGAATAATCAACATGTTGTAACATTAAGGTCCTGAGTATCATCTTTGATGTGGTCATGAAGGCATATTGCTAAAGGGTGTGGAACAAGGATGAAACGATTGTCTAGTACTCTGTGCTGGTTTTCAATGGTTCTCCGACTTCTAACGTCATTTCGCCGTCAGCAAACTTGAAAGTTTATCTATTCGAGATATCACTTTGAATTTGCATTATTAAGAAAGAAGTTCAACTAAAGAGTGTGTCACACTTATAATAATAGTGAAAAATTTACTGTAATGTATACCACTGCCTCTACTGCTGGTTTATTTCAAGTGTGACCATGGATTGACATCAGTTAGAGAAATATTAAAGAATACCTGGCAGTACTGGACAACTGTTTCGTCCTAGTTCGGGAGCCATTGGTAGTACGCATCTATCGCGGGGTAGGAACCCAGGACCCTCTGGTTACAAGACAAGCTCGCAAACAATTTTGCCATTGAGACCCGACTCAATGGCCTATGCTTTACGTGTTTATCTTTAGTGTACCTGACAGACAGGTAAGTAATGTTGACGTTAGGCGTAGAGTGTTGGGCAAAGAGGGAAAATCACTCGAAGAGGCTATGAAGTTACATAGATTGAGATGGCTAGGTCACGTGCTGCGCATGCCTAACCATCGCCTCCCCCGACGGGGATTACTAGCTAATATAGATGCAGGTTGGAAAAGAGTAAGTGATGCCATGCCAAACAAAAACATGGCATCAACCCATGAAATCCCTGACAGTTAAACTGAGTCAGGTAGGGAGATGCAGACTTCCGGGCTGGGGCCCTCGGGACTCCAAGAATCAATGGCTGGAGACACTAGGTGACATGGCTCAAAATCGTTGTCAGTGGCGCAGATGTATTCAGTCTCTGTAATCTTTCATATTCCTTTCCACCATTGCTCATTCTGTTTCACTCTTATACTTGTCA